CATTTACAATCATTACTCACCTCGAACTGGCTAAATCTCTAACTCGCGACGCCTTTGCCCCTCAAATCGGCCTCTATACGCGTCGAATCTATCCAAAATCAACACAAATACGTCACAATACGCTAAGGGAACAAAGCTCAAGCGAAAACAATCGAATTACCACAAAATTCTAGAAATTGGTCAAACCCGACCCCCGGGCCCACATCTCGGAATTTGACAAAATTTACAAAACTAGAATCTTTATACTCTCACGAGTCTAAACATACCAAAATTATCCAATTCCAATACCATTTGGTCCTTCAAATCATCATTTTATATTTTTGGAGGATTCCACAAATTTTCTTCCCAAGTTCCATCCCAAATCATGAATTAAATGATGAATTCAATGATAGATTCATGTATTCTAGCCAAATCTGAGTTAGAATCACTTATCCCGATGAATTTCTTGAAAAACCTTCGAAAAATCGCCAAAATCCGAGGTTTCTAGGTCAAAATATCAAATAAAATCCAAAACCTCGTATTTATAGAGCACCCCACAGATTTTCACCTCCGCGGACCGCACAAAATCGACCGCAATTTGCATAAAACCAGTGCAGTCCGCACAAAAACGACAGCGGCCGCACAGGCTTTCCTATGCAGTGACAGGCTTTAGTATTTTGGTCATAACTTTCGCTACAGATGTCCAAATTGCGATATCTTTACTTTCTGGGAACTAGACACGAAGGGCTACAACTTTCGTTTTTGAATCATCTCAAATTCCTTGTAGATCAAAAGATATGAGCTTCTGAAGTAGGAACGGTGAATTACTCCCCACCGCAGCCGCACAGCATTTTGTGCGGTTCGCACAACACCTACCGCGGCTGCACTTCATTTTGTGCGGTCCGCACAACACATACCACGGTCGCACTTATTTTTTGTGCGGACCGTGCGGGTGAGTTCCGAGGCCTGCAACCCTTCTGGACCTGCTACAACTATGGTTTTCGGCCTAAAATATCCCGGAACTCCCGGAACTTCAAACCAATTGTACCAACACATCCCATGACATCGTTCAAACTTGTTCAAAACTCCGGAACGCTCACAACAACATCAAATCACCAATTTAACGTAGGATTCAAGCCTAAGAACTCCAAGAACTCTTAAATTATGCTTTCGATAAAAAAGTCTATCAAATCTCGTTCGAATGACCACATCCCAAATGACACAACGAAGCTACTGTCACTCTCAGAATTCTATTCCAAGCTCTATATCAAAATCTCGCCTATCAACCGGAAAACGTCAAAATCTCAATTTCGCCAATTCAAACCTAAACCTTCCAAGAACTTCCAAAATGCATTCCGATCACGCTCCTAAGTCCCAAATCACCAAGCAGAGCTAACCAAATCATAAAATTTCCTATCCGAGATCATATACAACAAGTCAAATCTTGGTCAAACCTTTCAAATTTCAAGATACAAACTCAGAATTGTTCTTCCAAATTCGTTCCGATTTCCCTAAAAACCCAAACCAACGATTTACATAAGTCATATTACATCACACGAGGCAAGTCATAACTGAGAACTGGCGATCGAAGTGCAAAAGCTCAAAACGACCGGTCGGATCGTTATAAGAAATTAATTAACCTAGATAAAGATGTGAAGTATTTTTTTTGTTTCTTTAAGATGATTTATGTTTCTAATTAGTATGACCAATTTTTTTTATGCAAGTGCAAAAACCCAAAAGGAAAAAATATTCATCCAAGTAAAAAAAATATTAAAAGCGGCAGGACAAATTGAAGATAGTTAGCACACAAATAATCGTAAGACAACTTATATAACATATCCTTGGTTACCATGACATGCATCATATCAACAATTAACTGCTACTATGATTTTCACATATAGAACTTCGAAAATTCCATTCCATTCATGTGATATAAAAGATGTAATACTAATATGTGCTTATGCAATACATGTGTAGTACGAACTTGTGTGCATTCGAGATATTAGAGGAATGACAAATATAAGATAATCATACCTTCTTACGTTTCATTACTTACCATATGTAGTTTCTCTTTACATCTACCAAGAGATGATATGTATGACTTCTAATTGCAAACTTTCCGAATGTAGGAATTTTTTTTGTAGATATATATACAATTGGTTAGAGACTCGTACTGATAACGTGTTATGAAATAAAAGCAATTTAGTAAAACATGGGCAAGAAATAGAGATAGAGAGAAGAAAGAGATTTTCTTCTTCAATTGTGTGTATTTTCCTATCTATTACAAAGCCTTTATATAGGCATGAAAAGTGAAGAAAACATGTCATGGAATATGTCATTGAGCATCTGACATGAAGATCATGGAGGAAGACTAGACATCCACTATAATATGATATTTACCATAACAACATGTATGTTTTAGAATATTTATAAGTTTACTTTAATTTATAATCTACATGTAACTAAATAAAACAAATTTAATTGTAAATTCTCATATGTGTTTTCCTCATAAATTATGGATTGGGTTGGACTACCTAACATATGAAAATAAACGTATAAGTAGCCTATAGTTCTGATATCACTTTTAAGTATTTTTCGTTAAAGATAATTTTAACAAGAATACAAAAATTAAATACTAATGTTCTTACTCCTTATTATAAAGTAATGGAGTTGTATAACTAACATTTTGATCACGATCCAAACAATTGCAAAATTCACTTCTCGTTGGAAAACATATAAAGGAATATAAACAGATTTTTTCATTCTCACTTAGTTTTAGTAAACTTGACTAGAAAAACAAAAAAAAGGTTGGTACATTTTTGTGACTTTCATTTCCTCCTACATTTTCACAAATACGACAAAAATAAGGTCATAGTGTATTGAAAACAACCTCTCTACCCTATAGTAGGGGTAATGTCTGCGTACACACTACCCTACCCAAACTCTACTAGTAGGATTATACTAGATTGTTGTTGTTGTTGACAAAAATAAGGTCATAATTCCGAAATAGATTTATACCTATTTCTTTCGATTACCTTTTATATAACAAATTTGTTTTTCTATTTAGATTTATTTTTTTTGGTTTAAATGTAAGGTTTACATTATTATGATTTATGAAAGAGAAAAAGAAAATAACCAAGGGCAACTTGGGTAAAACTAGTGCAGATAGATTACGATAACTCGCTGCTAAACGCACGCTAGCCGAGCACCGAATCACTTTACCCCACATATAAAAACCCTTCCCTGATAGTCCAATTTCTCACCCTTCATATTTTCTCTCTCTTCGATCGTTCAATCAAATCTCTCGCTCTCTCAAACTCCCCATTTCGCTCTCTGCTCTCACTACTCGTTTGAAAAACCCTAGGCATTAACTGTTGCTGATCCCTTCGCGATGATTCCTTTCACCTCCACTGTTTCTACACAGATTCGGTTTCTGCTCAATAGCTTGAACGCTTCCAATTCTGACACTGTTTTCCATGAGCTCCGTCAGGTACTATAAACCCTAGCATTCACTGAATGTGTGGTGTGTTATATATATATATATAAAGTCGATTACTGCTTGTTTCTTTCTCAGATTGGATTTTTTTGTGTAACTCATGTTGCCCCGCCCACTGTAACTTTTTAGAAATATGTTTGCATTGGTGTACTGGGGAATAATTGGTATTAATAACTGGAAACTGGAAAAGAACGATTTTCAAGGTTATGTAGTTGGGCTAAATGGCACTTCTTGAGTGACTGGATAATTTTCGAATTCACCCAAATTGGATATTTTATTATCAGTATAAATTACTTAAGTGGGTTATTATATGTATAATACCCATTTGTGTGTCATTATTCATGCATTTACAGTCGGATTCTTGGTTGATTATTTTACAGATTGGATTTTTGTTTCCTTTCTGTAGCGTCTGTTGTTGCATTGTAACTTTTGTATACATATTTTGCACTGATGTAGTGGGTGAATTATGAGCATTGAAAGGATCATCTTTGAGCTGATGTAGTTTGATTACTTATAAAAAATGGTGATGTAGTTTTGAGTTTGTTTTAATAAGACTTATAGAAAGAAATATTTTTTTTGATAAGGGAGGTGAAGTTGTTTTGATAAATTGCATTTCCTGGGTAGTGGGTTCTTGAATATCCAAAATTGGAATTTCCATTTGTTTTTGTAAATTCTGCAGAAAGGACCTCACTCCGTTCAAAAAGGGGGCCACTTTCTCTTAGCAAAGGTCTTTGTTTGCTATGACTAGAAACTCGTTATGGTTATGCGGCTGTATAGAAAAGATGTGCGGTGGGGTGGGGGCTTCACGCTTTTTTTTTAATCAACAGAATTGATCAAATTCCGTCGATTGTAGCTAGTGATTGCCCAGGTTAGTGTGTGATCACCGAAGGATGCCGAATACCCCTGGCCGGTTCTGCTGCGTAAGCCCAGGAGCTGGTTTGGGGAATCGCTGGGCCTTATTTATTCGAGGTGGGGTGGGGGACTTGATTATGATACGGAATAATTGATAGAATCGAAATTTCATAGAAGAATGATCGAGTCCACAAAATATTTTCATAAGCGCACATGTGGCTGAATATATAAGGAAGGTCACACACCCTGAATACTGATAATTTAATTTACTTAAGTGGACGATATGTATAATCCACATATAGGAACCCATCTGTGTGTATACATGCATTTATAGCCAATTTCGCAGTTGTTTCTTTCATATATTGGATTTTTGTTTCCTTTTTGTAACTTCTGTTGTGCACTGTAATAGATATGTTTGCACTGTAATAGATATGTTTGCAGTGAGGTAGTGGTCGAATAATTGGCTATTACAAACAATGGTCTTCAAGGCTATATATTTGCCTAAACTTTCAATTGCTAGCAATGGGTTTTGCTTTAAATATCCAAAATTGTAATTTTCATCTGTGAATAGTGTTAGTAAATACTTAATTGGACTATATGTATTTTTATACATCAGGTGCAAGAGAACCATAGAAAACACTATCTCTAGCTGCACTAAATTGTCACTCTTGAGCAATGTAGTTTTGCTTTTAATACCCAAATTTGGATTTTTCAGTCATGAAAATTGTTTCTAAAATTTATGTAATTGGACTATATGTAGCGTAGCTGGTTTGTCCCTTTTTTGTGTGTTGGGCGCGAGAGAACTGTCAGTGATCTCCATTCCGTGGTTGCGCTAAATTGCCCTTCTTGAGTAATGTATGTTTGTCCAAATATTCAAAATTTGACATTTTCTGTTGTACTATATGTATTTACTATATCAAAAAAATATTTGTACTATAAGTACCTCTATATAGAGATTTCATACATTTTTATGCATCCGGTGCCAGAGAATCGTGGTGATCAGAAAGCATGAGCTTTGGTCATTGGCTAAAAGGATTTCTAATTTTTTGAGTATTTTAGCGTAGTTTCCATGTGGACACAGATGCATTTGAGCACCATGAACGGTTTTTTCCTGTTTAAACGTTGAATCAATGGGGATAATGTGTGTCCGTGACATCATTTTGGTTTGGGTAATTAGAATGAGGATTTGTATAATAAGAGAAAAGGAAATAAGGATTCGAAATGCCTTCCCTATCATAAAAGGGGATTCAAACTTTTTCTAGCATAACTAATTTTTGGATTTCTTTTCCTTTATTACGTGATATTATTTATGAGGATATTGGCTTTATGAATACAAGTATTACCATTTCATCTTTTTGATTGGTGAAGTAGGAGATTAATTTGTTTCCTATTCTTATATATGGCATATCTGCACTGTGCTTCTTCCCTTTTGGGTAATAAGAGTGGGATGACAAGTATATGCTAACTACGAAATTAGGACACTTGGCTTTGAATGCCTTTTATAACATTTTTGGTAAAAGATAAGGGTGCTAAGAGTGGAATATGCTCAAGTTTATGTTTTCCCCTTTTTATAAGATACTTAAATGTTACTTTTTTTAAAAAAAAAAGGATACTTAGATGTTCCGTTGTGCAATTTCCAATCATCAATGTGCTAGATATTTGAACATCCATCTTCTTTTACAGCTCGGATATGTTTGTTGGTTTTTCATTCTCTATGTTCTTAAATTACTATTTCTTGCCATATTTGGGTAACACTGTATCAGGAAGCTTTTTTTTTGGTGGGGTGGGGGTGGGGTTGCAACCTAGCAAATATATAATAATCCATAAAGGGAAATTAACTATTAAACGGGAAAGGGTCTTGGTGGAAAAATTCTCTTTTGTGGACGTACCGATGACAAATTGTCGTTTTTGGACGTACGAAAATTATCTTTCCTGGACGAGGTTTCATTGTTTCACTAGCTATATACCATGCATCAAGTTATAGTATCATTGTTGCGTAAATTATGAGAGTCAGTTCTTTGTTCTCAAAGCAAGCTTGAGGCATGCTTATGCTCTGAAGTTAGATGTAATACAGGCTAGGTGTTTCATCCGTTTAAGCGACATTTTGAATGAGGAACCAAAATTCGAGGTGCACACTTGCATTTTTTTCCAATTAGAAGGAGGTTCTTTTTTCCCCAGTAAAATCTTCTTTTCCTATTAAATCACTCACATATCTTCAAACAAAGCTACATCTATTCAAACACCTTTTTTTGCACAATACATTTAAAAACTTCTTTCCCGAAGTGGAGTAACTGTGTATTGCTTTCTTTCCAGAATGTCCATTAAGTGCATGCATGGCTGCTTTGGTTATTCTGGATTACATTGTGCCAATAGTAGCACTAGTGTTTGTAAAGCGAGAAGTGCAAAAAAAGGACAATGTTCGTGGATCTTGAAGTGAAAAGCATGAGTGAAGCGCACAATTTATGAAAAATTTATATTTCATTAGAAAAACAATTTATGAAAAAAATTTAAAATATCAAACATTTATTAGTACTATAGTAATATTCAAATTGCAATTGAAACGACATCAAACATACAATAATGCCAATAATAATTCAACTTCTCGAAGTTGAGATTTAAAGAACTACTGCTTCTCATTGAATCACTTTGTGTGTTATTATTTGAAGCTCTCGCTTCTCTAAAGTGTTAAAGCGAAGAAGCAGTAAGTTTTAATAACATTGAGTACATCGTAGTAATTAATTGAATAAGACATAATCCAAACATTTGTGAGCTGCTGCATAATATGAAGCTGGCAATTGACACACACCACTCTTTTTCTAAGGTAACAGCAATTTGCCAACTCTTTTACCTGTTATTTTATACTCCCTCTGTTCCAGTTTATGTGAACCTATTTCCTTTTTGGTCCGTTCCAAAAAGAATGAACTCTTTCTAAATTTGGTAACAATTTAGCTTAAAGTTACAACTTTACCCGTAATGAGAAGCTTTTATAACCACACAAATACTCTGGGCCCCATTTGAACTTGTTTAGGACCACAAATTCTAAAAGTCTCATTTTTTACTTAAACTTCGTGCCCAGTCAAACAGGTTCACATAAATTGGAACGGAGGGAGTACTAGTTAGCTTCTTAAGTGCACCATAATTTCCACATATAGGTGGAATTGTTTTTCAATTGTGTCACTGGTAAAATGCAAGTTCTCCTGAAATACGTTGTCAATATTTCTGTATGAATTCTCTCTTTTTTATATTTTTTATTGATAATGGTAACTTGAACATGAAGTTTTCTTCTTTTCTCGTCAGAACAGTTAATATTGCTTTAATAGCTCCTTTTTGTTCTTTCCTTCTAAAGATAAGAATAACCCTTTTTTTAGTTGAACTCTAATACTGCTTGATATAGTTGGAAGCAGAGTCGCTTTTCAAAAAGAACTACTTCTACTTTTGGCACTGAATGTCTTCTCACTATTTTTGAAGATTGTGTGATTTTTCCCCACATAATCTCTTAAGGAATTAGACTGTGTCATTTATCTTTCACTCCCAATTTCTTTAAGATGCAAATTTTTGTCTTCGCCATCACCCTCTTTAATTAATGCTTTTTACTCAGAAGTTCTTCCTCTCTCTTGTTGGTGCTGCTGTAGTCAAAACTGAGATTGGATCTTGGGTCTCCTCACCTTATATGGTATTCTACTAAGACTACCTAAGTTCTGTATGTTACTCTAGAGCATAGAAGGTAGGGCGGGAGAAGTAGATTTGCTTGAGAGAAGAAGATTTCCAAGTATATACATCTTTTATTGTATGTTTCCCAATTATCGTTGAACTGTGTGCCTAGACGTAAGCTCTAAATGATGTTTAAATATACATGCCGAGGTTCTGTTGGCCCAATTTTTTGGTTACGTTGGAGGCTTGGAGCATTTGTTTCGTTATTCTACTATTTATAATAGTGGAAGTGTTGTCCTTTTCCTCTCCATGTTCCTTCGTCTTTGTTGGGGAAGTATGTTCTCGACATTTAACTGGTATCTTCTTTTCGTTATCATATGAAAAGCATGATAATTTTGACTGGTATTGCAAATTATAGTTAACTTATAAATCTATACATAACTGGGAAGCCAGCAGCCATTGGGCTCCTACTTGTGTTTTTAAATTTGTAGGAGTCAAATTCTTATTGTCACCATTTTAAAAAATGGCTTAAGTTCATCTGGAATTTTGTTTAATCTATTTAATCCCTCAATTGCCCATAAATTTTAGAAGTTATTGCTTTTCCAATTTAGGGATGTTATTATTTCATTTTACTGAGAGAGGATAGTTTCTGGTGGTGCATATTACACCTGGTGCAATCAAACTTTGAGTCTTATTTTATCCAAGGGTGTCACAAATGAGGGCTGGTCAAACATAAAGCAGCATTTTGGTCCACTATACTGGCAGCAATTTGGTGGGTCATATGGAGGGAAACAAACCTGAGAATGAGTACATAGTTAGCCTTAAGCAGAAATGTGTCTCTTTGCTCCTTTTTTGATGGCTAGAATCAATGTTAATGACGTCGACTCCATGGTAGATTTTATTAGTAATCTGCATAGTTTGTAATTGGGTTGTTCTTACCAACCAACACTTTCTTTATCTGGTTTTTCTGATATAATACTACTCCCCCATTACACATAAAAAATGTCTGAGCCTTAGTTATCAAGTCCTATTGGACCTCCACATGTCCTGACCTTTGGTGTGACTATGATGATTGAATGTACTAATGTCGACAATATATCCATAAAATCATATGGAAGAAAGTTATATAAAGAACCTATAATCTTACTGAATCAATGTGGACTTAGCTAAGAACAGAATACAATGGAGGCAAAGGATCCATATAGGAGATACAAATTCATTGAACTAAGGTTTAGTTATTGTCGTTAGGCTTACATTAGGCTTGGTGTTTGTCAAAGGCGTGTTTATCAAAGGCTTGATTAGGCGACACTTTAGTATTGAAGCTAGGTGTAGAACTGGTTGAGTGATTTGTCTCGTTTAAGCGAGCAGGCACCAAGGCGCTAAATTGTGCACCTAATTGTCTATTGATTGTGTTACTAAGATAATAAAATCACCGAGTATATTTTGCCTCCGGTGGTAGTGAGTGACGACTTACCCTCGATCTTATTATTGTTATTATTATTATTATATATTATATTATTATTATTATTGTTAACTTGTCTTTTGAGCTCCTCCCAATTGTTAAGACGATTCTGCACGCTTTTAATGCTTCTAAAACTCCTTGCTAAAACTTGAATTTATTGCTCAGAATTGCAAAAACTCTTGCTAGATCTGAGTTGAATAAAAAGCAATAAGTATCTTTAGGATATAAGTAGGCAACATAATTGCAACCAGATACTGTTCCGATATTTTACTACATGATGGTTATCAACATTTATCCCAGGTGAAGATTTTAAAATAACACTGCTGTTCTTTTTCGTTTTTTGACATTTGTCCGAGCAGTATCTGGCATATGGAGTTGAAGGGAGCATATTGCTGCTTCAGACGTGCGTTGATCAACTGAATATTTATGGGAAAGATTTGAAGAACACACAGCTGGATCCTGTATTTGCTTCCATTTTCAGATGCATCTTGGACAAGCCAAGTTTCAGCACTGCTTTTTCTGAATCCCTAAAGGATACTGCAATCAGTGAGGAGTTTTTGGTGAATCTCTCTACTGCTTTACAGTTGACAATATCTGAAAAAATTGGAGTTGGCCTTGCATTGTCAGACTCGGAAAATGTTGATGTCAGGAAATGTGGTAAGCCCATCTTCCTTCTATGAATGCCATTAATAATACTTGGGCCCTTCTGATTTAATCTTTCATATGGTGGAAAGAAAGGAGGTAAACAAATATATGTTAACTGCTCTATTTCCTTTATCCCAAGATGTGATTTTTGTTGCTTGTATTTTGCAGGAACCAACTATTGCATGGGTCAGATAGCAGAATTATGTTCCACCAATTCTTCTTTAGATGATGTCATGCCAATTCAGAGTGTTCTTTTGTTTCTGGATCAATCTGAAGGCCTCTCTAAGCATGTAGACTTGTTTATGCATATGCTATCGCTCATCCAGTCAAAAGAAGAAGCCCAGTTCATTTTAACTCCTTTGCTTTCTGATGAACTTCGTGAAGCTAATTTTTTGAGGTATTATTATTTAAATTTGGTTGAGATTGTTTTATCTCTTTTGTCTAGAAACTTGTGCATTGACACATAAGCATGATGTGACCTTGTCTTTTCTTGTGACAGGAACTTAGATTTCTTAAATGATGGTGGTGAAGATGATTTTGATGCTCTTGTGGCAGAAATGGAGAAGGAAATGAGCATAGCGGACATAATGAAGGAATTGGGTTATGGATGCACTGCTAATGTCTTGCAATGCAAAGAAATGTTATCCTTATTTTTGCCGTTGACTGAAGTAACTGTTGCTAGGATACTTGGTATGGTTGTACATACCCGCTCTGGCATTGAGGATAACCAGAATGTGTTCTCAACGTTCCGTGCTGCTCTTGGTAGCAGCACTGTATCTGATCCATCTCCATTGGATTCTTGGAATGCTGACGTCCTTATTGATGCAATAAAGCAACTTGTGGGTTCCATCACCTTAAATATTTATCAGTTAGTATTTTTGATGGGGCATTTATAGCTTGATGATAAGTAACCGTTTTACCACCTCTTTGCATGCAGGCTCCTGGACTTAACTGGGTAACTGTAATGGAAAACCTAGATCATGAGGGTTTCTATATTCCCGATGGAACAGCCTTTTCCTTTTTGATGTCCATTTACAAACATGCCTGTCAGGTACCTCTCCTCTTCCCTCTCTACAATATGCATCTACGAGGCTACCCACTTTTCCCTTATCTTTTGGTGACTTGAAACAAAGGGAAATGGAAGAAGAAAAAGATTTGGAGGAAACATTTTTTGTCTTGAAACAGAGGGATTTGTACATCTGTGGTAAAATGGGAGGTGAAATTTAATTCAGTTACTTATCCACTTCTCCGTTATAAGTAGGATCATTTGTTGACTGTTCCTTTTGTATTACTGTTTATTTCTTTCCCTCTAGTTCTTGTATAGTGTGCTTCTTTCAGTGGGACCAATGTACATTGGTATGATCATTAACAAAAATTTAGAAATTTACTCCACCACATTTTTTTCTGTAAATCCCGCCGGAACTGTAGGATCCTTTTCCTCTTGGAGCTATTTGCGGTTCTCTCTGGAAGAATGCTGAGGGTCAGCTTTCCTTACTTAAGTATGCTGTCTCGGTGCCTCCTGAAGTATTTACCTTCGCGCATTGTGGGAGGCAACTGGTAGGATGCTTTTAACATTTAGCTTATCTACATCCACATATCATGTATGATTGGTCTGAACAGCCACTGTGTTCGTGCAGGCTTATGTTGATGCGGTGAATGACCATAAAATCCAAATTGGACATGCAAATCATGCATGGTTGTGTCTTGACCTTCTCGAAGTTCTTTGCCAGTTGGCTGAGAGAGGTTATGCAAGTTCTGTGCGATCCATTCTGGAGCACCCTCTGAAGCACTGTCCAGAAGTCTTGCTTCTTGGGATGGCCCATATCAATGTATTGGACATGGGCACTGATTGTGAATCTTTCCTTTTTCTTATTTTTTTCATCTATATTAATCAGTGCCTTTGGATAATTGGCAGACTGCGTATAATCTCCTCCAGCATGAAGTTTCCGCTGCTGTTTTCCCTGTTATGCTAAAAAATACTGGTGCTAATGGTATGATTCTTCATTTGTGGCATGTTAATCCTAGCATCTTGTTGCGGGGTCTTGTTGATACATTGAATGTTGACCTGGAGAACACCTACAAAGTCTTGGATACATGTCAAGAGCAAAAGGTTGGATTATTGATTATTTCCCAAATTTAAATTTTAACTGTTATGCATATATTTGATACCATTAGTATGTTATTGGAAATGGTCCATTGTTGTATTCAGTCTTGAACATTATCACTTGAGTTTGTAACCAGTAATCGTTGGATAGGAAGACTTCTAATGTGTTAATGTTCGGGTGTTATATGCTTCATTGATATAGCTAGCTTGCTTATAGTAATATGGTAAAAATGGTTTTCTTGCATAGTTATTTGTTGCAGTCAGTGTTAATTGTTTAAGAGATGAAGCAATGCGAAGCAAGTTGTCATCGGTTAGTGGATGAAGCCATGCACTTCACAGACAGTGAGACACAAAGTGATTCCAATGAGAAGTGGTCACTTCCTTTGAATCTCAATTTAAAAGATGAAAAAGTAAAAGAGAAAAAGAAGGGGAAAGTGACATTGGGCTATTTTAAATATTGACTTTATCTGCACGTATACTAAAATGCTCTCTTTATTGTCCGTATCTTTGTCTTCTAGATTTTGTAATGCCTTTTCTAGAACCACCTGTATTTCCTTTTTACTTTTGATTTACTCTTTTCTTTCCCTTTTCAAAGAAATGACTTCCTTTTTCTTCCATTATGCAAGTTCTCTTATTCCTGCTACTCCTAATTTCGTTTTCTCTCTCTTCTACTCTATTAGTACACTTCCTAAAATTATTTAATATGAAATCTATTGCTGCAAATGATCCCTTTTTATGGTTGGTTAATTTAAAATGAAAAATTTGTTTTATTTGACGGTCTTGTTAAAATTATATTCTAATGTTTTTACTATAAGGAGTTGGATTAATGATGTCATTGTTGTATATTGGATACTAAAATAGTTATTTTAATGCACTTTAATAAGTACCAAATCCATACATGTAAGGGGTATCTTAGTTTCAGTTCATTGTGTGCTTCATTTTGACAAAGCGTCGCTTTTGCACTTTTCGCTTTAAAAAACCCTGCTTGCAGCTTAATTCTTCTAGATGATTCTAGTATGCTAGCACCCCCCCCCCCTCCACACACACACACCACAAAAAAAAGGACTTATATTGCTGGCGTAATGGTTGAATGATATTTGTAGGTTCATTGTTCGAAGAAATTGAAGTATGTTTTTGTTTCATGGTTGATTCCTCTACGTCCATTCTAGATTAGCTTGTTTCTGGAATGGGTATCATTAAGATCTTCTGTTCTTTTACTTGTTCAACGCCTTTCTTTGACCATACCCGGTCATTGATTGAATTATAAATTGATCTGCTCATGTACAATTTCCCGTTGTTTTGCATATCATGCCCTTCCTCATTCTTCCAGTATGTGGACTCATGATTTCTGTGTGTTGCAGATTCTATCATCGGTACTGGATATGATTCCTTATGCTTTCGGCATCAGACTTGCTGCCCTTGCTTCCCGCAAAGAACTCGTGGATTTGGAGAAATGGTTAAGCAATAACTTAAGCACATTTAAAGATATCTTCTATGAGGTGTGTTTCATCCACAATCCATAAATTTGAAAGGTTGTTCCACATTTTTGCTGTTCTTAACATCCCTCTGCCTTGTCTGTCTTTATGTTGGAGAAAATTTCACTCTGCTGTGGCCTGTGTTAAAAGCGTTATGCTTAGCTCTATATGCTATTTTCAGGAATGCCTTAAGTTCTTGAGGGAGGTACATCTCGCTGCTCAAGATGTTGCTTCCAACTGCTTTGATCCTCCCAATGCTCTTTGGACTATTTATTCAGAAACTTCTTCAACCTTTTTAAAGGTTCACTTTTAAGATTGATTAGTTTTAGATGGCATGCACTTTAAATTTCATTTTTGCTCATCTGGGATCTTTATTTTCAGGTACTTAAGTCTCATTCTGGTCTAGTTTCTTCACGCCACTTATCGGAGGAGCTGGACAAGTTGCACATAACATACATGGATGCTAATTCAAGGCTTAAGAGTGTTGGTGGTGCTGATTCATCCACTTCTGATGGTTCTGATGATATTGAAGCGGAAGCAAACATATACTTCCATCAAATGTTCTCTGGTCAGCTGACTAATGATGCAACAGTTCAAATGCTTGCTCGTTTCAAAGAATCGACTGAAAAAAGGTCAATTTTACAAGAATCCATTTTTATGATTTGTTTAAATACCCTGCACAAGGAAGCAAGTCATTATTTCTTTTCTTTTTCACTTCTTTTGTTCTTAGGCCGAGGGTCTATTGGAAACAACCTCTCTACCTGCATTAGGTAGGGGTAAAGCCTGCGTACAGCCTCTCCAGACCCCACCTGTTGGGAACATACTGGGTTTGTTGTTGTTGTTGTTTGGTTCTTAGAGGTCGTTTGGTAGAGTGCATAACACAAAATATGCTTGCATTAGTTTTGTGTATTAGTAATACCTTGTTTGGTACACTTTTTCAACTTATGTATAACTAATACAAGCATTAGTTATACATCCTATTTGGTATTATCATGTTTATAGCTAATGCATAGCAAAACCATGGTATTAGTAATACCAAGGCTATCAATGCATGCATTAGTATGTCTAAAGACCAAATTGTCCTTAAAGTCCCTTAAAACTAAAGAATATAGAGGGTATTTTTGTAAACAACTATTTTTTTTAAAATTATGCAATGCATTTTAGTTTTTAATACACCACACCAAACAATGTATAAAAAATAATCTCTGCATAACTAATGCTTGCATTACTAACACATGCATTACTAATCCCTGCATTACTAATACACCATATTCAGCATTATTCTTATACACTCTACCAAACGACCCCTTACAGAATTATGGTTGCTGCTCCTTTGGCATTGCTCTCTTTATGCTCTTAAAATCCATGTAACTGTTACTTAATATTCGTTATTCTTCTCATTTGTGTGTTTTTCTTCTTTTCTATTTCTCTAATGCGTTGGTCTGAGGGTGAGGTCGTGCCAAACATGTGGTAATGATTTAAGAATTCGGATTCAACCGAGTAACTTAATGTATTATGAAAGCTCATTATTGTCGGGTGAAGTGGGAAGTCCTATATTTCTTCCACTTTTCTCTATAAGCTTGGTTTGATATGCTCAAAATACCTGGGGGTTTCCGTCCTAAATGCAAATTCTTATCTTAAACATAGATATTTGCAGAAGAGAATTTTGATTGGTTATATCAATTAGTTGCGAATTCTCTTTAGTTAGTCCCACTGCAGTGTTCTAGCCTATAATCATGTTTCGTTAGTATTTTGCCATGTTATTAGATATTGAAGTGATATTTGAAATTTGCAGGGAGCAAGCAATTTTCGAGTGCATGATTGCTAATCTGTTTGAAGAATACAAATTTTTCTCCAAGTACCCAGAAAGGCAGCTCAAAATAGCTGCTGTTCTATTTGGTGAGTTTCTGAGAGATTAATCTTTCAACTGCTTATCTTCTACAATTTTCAGTTACATTGTCATAAATTTTGCTCAACTTTGAGGTGTTTTTCTCTAATTTTAAGTGTGCTGGTCACATAGATAGAATTTGCATTTTTCTGACAAATCCTTTTCAGTTATTTAATTAATTCTGGACAGTTAACATTCCTCTATAACTTCTTAAACATGTTAGTTTCCCTTATGTCCTTTGATGGGTTATCTTTGCATTCTAGATTGCACTGAGTATCCTTATCCTTCACTTTTCAAGTATTTGACATATGAAGGTGTTAGGCATTTGTAGCCAATGGGCTCTTTGCAGCTAATAGCAATAAGATGATATTTTAATAGCATATGCAGGAGGAGGAATTAAAAAATTGGACTATTTAACTGTAGGAATTCGATCTCCATGGTCAATTTCTCATATTAACTAACTTGGTCATAGTCAGAGGTTGCGTGGACCTGGGAATTGTTTATCAATAGAGGTAAACATATGTCAGTGTCTGGTTTCATGCTCATCAGACTGCAGAACTGTTGGGTTTGACTCGGTTCTCTATATATTATTATACACAAGAGAAGAAGAGCACTGGTCAAGGTCACCTTAAATCTGTAGCAATTCTTTTATGGTAACTTAATTAGATGTTACTCTTTTAAGTCATAAGATGACTGGACATCATATATTGAAACAAAGAGCTGATAGTATCCCGAATGAAATACTGCAAACATATGAAAAGGAGGCAATTATCATTGCTAAACTTGATAGAGTAGCTTTAACTTTGACTTCACAATGTGGTTTCTCTGATATCAAAGTAATTCTCATTCTAGATTATTTATAAATGAGCAAGGATAGTTTGGGGGAGAGAAATAGGAGAGCTTTTGAGGGGATTGAATCTTCTTTTTCACATGTTAAGAATAGTCTTTTATCTTTGATCGCTTTTTGGTGCACTCATATAGCCCCTATTTGTATAGAAGATTAGGCGTCTTTTGTAAAGAATCATGTTCTGATGTAAATTCTCTACTTTTTGGTATACTTCTTGTATACGGGAGTTCTCTCCCTTTTGATTAATACAATTTACCTTATCAAAAAAATAAATGAGCAAAATTATTGAATCATTTTAACTTACCACAGTGACTTTGGCATTGAATAAAAATATGATTTACTGGCACTCAAGCCAGGAGTCCTTGTAATAATTTCTCTATAATTGAACTGCATGATTTTATTCTCTTTTATATGCCGTTGAAAAATTACGATTATAGATGGTGGCCCCAATCAAACTGCTTTTTAGTATAGGATTGATGAATAAATGGAATTAGGATTTCAGGGTGGCCCCAGCAACAGCTTCAGAAATTTAGTTTAACATTTACCAAAGGATGGGATAAATATTACTGGTAAACACTGTTAATGGTGGAACTGTTCACTAGTTTAGCTGTACTACTAGTACTTATAAGCTGGCCCAATTTCTTTTAGCTAACTACCTTCACCTATAGGTCTCTCCATAATGTTTGAAGTCCCCAAATTTTTCCTGAACTTCCTGCTTTTAATTTCAATGAACATGGCTTAAAATTGTCTTTCTATCCGTCCTACACTAGTGCTTACTTTGCTTATTTCTTTTAATTGTGCGCAAAAATAATTTTAAAACATTAATTAACTTTAAAGTTCAAGAAGTTTATATCTGAAACTTGTTTAAATTTCTTTCCCCTTTTCCAATATTTGCCTAAATTTCTTTCCCCTTTTCCAATATTTGCCTTTGCAGGATCACTTATTAAGAATCAGCTGGTAACTCATCTTGCACTTGGTATTGCCTTGCGAGCTGTCTTGGATGCGTTGCGCAAGCCTGCTGATTCAAAGGTTTATTTTCAGTGATTACACTTTTCTTAAATACTATATCTGGTTTCATATTTACTTAAAAGGCTTCTCTTCATGCAGATGTTTGTTTTTGGGATTATGGCACTTGAACAGTTTGTTGACCGTCTGATTGAATGGCCACAATACTGCAACCATATCTTGCAAATTTCTCATCTCCGGGCAACTCATTCGGAGCTTGTTGCGTTCATTGAACGAGCGCTTGCTAGGATATCACTGGCACATTCTGAATCAGAGGTAGCCCACAGTCCCGCTGCTGATCAATTCCATGGTCCTATAACATCTTCCCCAATGAATGCCGAGGTAAGTCATTCTTCTGGTCTGATTATTATTCTTCATTTAAAAAGGTTTTTAGAAAGGATATATTGCTTAATTTCTTTGGGATTCCCGCCTGAGTATATAATGTGGCGTGTATAAAGAATATCTCGTGCTTGGATAAGTTTTTGTTGCTTTGGTTTTATGGGAGTTGTTTCACACAGAGTACTTTTATGACCTTTGGTTAGTCAAATAATTGATGACATTCAACTTTTTTTTTTTCCGGTCAGGGTTCAACATTTCCCGTGGTTGGACAGGGTAGCTTGCAGCAAAGTATGCAGGGATCCTCTTCAAACCAGCTTCCTCAGAGACAGCAAAGTTCCTTAGATGAGAGAAAACCCTCTGCTGTTCTCTCCAGCTACTTGAAGCCGGCTTTATCATCTGCAGTGCAACCTGCCGCTGTTCCTTCAAGTGATACGGCTGGCATTCAGAAGGTATACAATGAGCTTGTGTATGGCGTCTTTGGCCATATTATGATCAGGTTATGAGTGTCTTTTCATGCTGAATTGTAGCCACAGGGTTCAGTCAGTGCTTCAGCAGTACTCACTTCTTCTCCTGGTTTTCTTCGTCCATCTCGGGCCATTACCTCAGCAAGTAATAAACTGTCTAATCCTAGATTCATTTTTGACTTTTCTTCCCTGCTACTGCTGTAGACAGAGGTGCTGATGGATGTGACACTGATTTGTGACAGGATTTGGTTCTGCGTTGAATATTGAAACACTTGTTGCTGCTGCAGAGAGAAGAGAAACACCCATAGAGGTACTCTTGTTTGTCATCTGTATGGTGATCTTGCATGCATGTTAGTGTCAATTCCTTCATCAACATGTTTTAGATAGGTTAATGTCCATGTTATTGCGTCTAAATATGTGTTGCTCTATTGTGAGCATGTCTCTATTAAATGGCTGTCAGTTGTCTATCTGTTTTACTGATATCATTTTTCCTTAGTTTGCTTTTCCTCTCTACTTTCACTTAGTCTTCTAGGCTATGTTTTTTTTTTTGTTTTCTACTTTGCTCAAGACACGCAAAATCCTGATGTATTTTTCTCCTTGGTAATTTCAACGGAATTAACAAGTTTTTCCTTGCAACACATTAGGATGTTTGGTAGTAGTGTCTAGATATTGGCTAGCCTTTTGGATGACAGATGGCATGGTTAAGTTGGTGAAGGGACTGATAAGTCCTTTTAATATCATCCGTCAAATATTTTAAGGGTGGTCTCATTATTTTCGCAGGCTCCTGCATCAGAAATTCAGGATAAGATATCATTTATTATCAATAACTTATCTGCGGCAAATATTGAAGCCAAAGCGAAAGAGTTTACTGGAATTTTGGAAGAGCAGTACTACCCGTGGTTTGCTCAGTATATGGTGATGAAAAGGTGAGTTTACGCTATAATTCTTGTGTTTAGTGTACCGTGGTTTGCTCTGTTATGGTGATGAAAAGGTTAGTGTACAATATATTTCTTGTGTTTAATGTATTTATTTTATGATAAAAAAGATCATTATAGGGGGCTGATTTTATTTGTAACTTCGAATTTGCACCTTCTTTTTCCCTAACTTTGGTGCTTTTATGCTATTTCTGATTCACTGACAGAGCGAGCATTGAGCCAAATTTTCATGATTTGTACCTGAAGTTCCTAGATAAAGTAACTTCAAAAGCTTTGTACAAGGAGATTGTCCAAGCAACCTACGAGAATTGCAAGGTTCATATAACTACAGTTCATTACTCAAGACGGTGCTGGTAAAGTATTGTTCATTTGCTTCATATCTGGTTTTGGGTTTCTTTCAGGTTCTTTTAGGGTCAGAATTGATAAAATCAAGTTCAGAAGAGCGTTCTTTGCTGAAAAACCTTGGAAGCTGGCTAGGGAAAATTACAATTGGAAGGAATCAAGTCTTGAGGGCGCGGGAGATTGATCCAAAGTCTTTGATTATAGAGGTTGTTGCTTCTTAGTGAATATTGTTCTCTTCTAGGTGTTCAGGTTGTTGACTTGGTGTATCTTAATCTCATGATTATTTATTTATTTATTTTCTCTCTTGCGCAGGCGTATGAAAAAGGTTTGATGATTGCAGTTATTCCTTTTACTTCGAAGGTTGGTCCTACTTAACTTTTTTTCCTTCTCTCTCCCTCCTCGCTTTCCCCCCTTTTTTTTTGACATTCAATTTGTGTTGTGAGCTGCAGGTTCTGGAACCATGCCAAAGCAGTCTAGCATACCAACCGCCTAACCCTTGGACCATGGGTATTCTTGGGTTACTTGCTGAGATTTACGCAATGCCAAATCTTAAAATGAATCTCAAGTTTGACATTGAGGTTTGTGTTTACAATTAAGGTTTTAGTTGTGGTTTGTGATCTTTTTTAACTGTTACTTCAAACAGTATTACCTATTTATTCTTCTTTTAGGTCCTGTTCAAAAATCTTGGTGTGGATCTAAAAGAGGTAGTTCCAACTTCTCTTCTCAAGGACAGGGTGAGAGAAGTGGAAGGAAATCCTGACTTCTCAAACAAGGATGTTGGATCTTCCCAACCACCTATCGTGGGTGATGTCAAATCTGGCATTATATCTTCACTAAACCAGGTTGAACTACCACTTGAGGTTCCCAGTCCTTCTCATCCTAGTGGCCCTTCGCGTATTTTAACTCAGGTTTGGGCTTTTTCTGGTTTTGTTGTATCATAATGGCTTTTATGTATGTTAATTTAATGAACTAATAATGCGGTGGATTCAGTATGCTGCTCCTCTTCATATTCCATCTGCTCCAATGACGGAGGATGAGAAGCTAGCAGTGCTTGGGCTGTCTGATCAGCTTCCTTCTGCTCAAGGTCTTTTACAAGGGCAATCACCTTTTTCTGTTAGTCAGGTTTGTTGACAGTAATAGTGTTACCATTTGACAAGTTTTGTTGGTAATGGTTATTGGATAACTTTTTCTAACTTATAATTGTTTTCTTATAGCTTCCTGCACCTGCATCTAATATTGAGCAGCAATTTGTTGTCAATCCTAAGCTTCATGCTCTGGGCCTGCAGTTGCATTTTCAGAGGTTCGAAGCTGTAAATAGCAGTTGGCTTGTTGCAAGGGTTTGGGTTCATTACTTGCCAATTGTATTGTAATCCTCTATAATGTGATTCCTTTCTGCAGTGTACTTCCCATTGCTATGGATAGAGCTATCAAAGAGATTGTGTCCAGCATTGTGCAGCGCAGTGTTTCTATAGCAACTCAGACGACAAAGGAGCTTGTTTTAAAGGTTTTTTCTTCTGACACATCCCCTGCATAATTTTGACACCCCCTTTGAAAAAAAAAGAAAGAATGAAAAGAAAAAGTGAAATGTTTTCGCACCTGATTAAGTACACATATGGCAGGACTATGCCATGGAATCGGATGAGACCCGCATATGTAATGCTGCACATTTGATGGTTGCCAGTTTGTCAGGAAGTCTCGCTCATGTGACATGCAAGGTAGAGGAATACATTTTTACTATTCGTAGTGTGATTAAGGCATTATATCTTTCTGACGATATCTTGATGCTCTGGAATTTCCTAATCTCTTTCGACTTTGTTATTGAGTGAATTCTTTTGGTTTCAGGAACCTTTACGTGGTTCAATATCGGGCCAGCTTCGTACTTTACTTCAGGGATTGGGTATTGCAAGTGAGCTCCTTGAACAAGCTGTTCAGCTTGTTACTAATGACAATCTCGATCTTGGCTGTGCAATGATCGAACAAGCAGCAACGGATAAGGTATATTTCTGAATCCNTGAACAAGCAGCAACAGATAAGGTATATTTCTGAATCCGACTTGTGTTCTAGGAGTTTGATTCATGATGTCATGCACGACTCTGCATTCTCTGTCTTGTTATAATCCTAGAGGTAGGTAATTTTTGTTGTGCCATTTCTAACATTCAGTAAGTTCGTGTCCTTTGCAATTTGGTTCATGTCATTGGACTTCAGTTGCTTTTGTGGATCCAGCGTCTCACACATTGGGCTAGTGGATGATGTCAGTTATTGATTGTTCCTTTCATTTGGAGAACATGGGGTATAGCCGATATAGGTTGGAGTTGTTTTAAATCATATGGTGTTTTGGCCTTAATTGCAAGATTAATTAAGATGCTGAATGTTTACGTTCAAATATTATGAAGTGCTTTCAAATTAATTAGTTCTACACTGGCTCTTAACATGCCACAACCCTCTTCTTTATCCGGACTTGAGACTGACAAATGACAATGTGCACAAGCTCACGCAGGTGGAGTTGTCATAGTTGTTTCAATTGATGTCGTTATCTGCTGGAGATGAGCAGCTGCTAATATAAAAATATTGCGAAGAGCAGATTTAGATGCTTGGCAGTGGTTTCTGAACTTTAATCCAACATAATGCTAGTACATTCAAATTTATTAGCTTTGCATACACATGAGAAGAATTATATACATTCTCAAACATGTGTCCAAAATATTACATGCTAAACTAGTTGATCTCTGGTTTGTTTTGCTACTTGCTTTTCACTTGTTTTCAAGCAGTTCGAGCTATAATTGTAATTATTCTGATGCTTTTGATTTAATATGTTATTCACTCGCGTGTTTAATGTTTTGATGTTTTGGTTGTTAATATCGACACCCTTGATAAAAGGAAAGTATCAACACCATGTGATATATGATTTTGATTGAAAGCTAGCATTTTTCTGTGTCAAGGGAACTTAATGCAACTTGCTTGTCTATCTATTGTATTCTTCTAAGCATTCAAAAAGGTCCTTTTTGATATGAAATGTAATGATAATCTTGATTACGAATCTAGATTTGACAGGACTTCTGGTCATAAGCTCATGCAAGTAGCTATGCTTTTTGAAAACCTGCTGCCAGTCTAATCTGTACTACCCATGCATTTACGTTGCTAGTAGTGTCCTGGTGGATATAGTATGAAAATCTGATTGTGCTTTTGCTGGGTCTAAGTTGATTAATCTACTCTTACCCGTTTTCCATGTCTTTTTTCTGTCTGGGATAATGCATGTGCAGGCTATACAGACGATTGATGGAGAAATAGCTCAACAGCTAGCCATTAGAAGGAAGCACAGAGAGGGTGTTGGTCCGACATTTTTTGATGCAAGCCTTTATACACAAGGACATATGGGTGGTTTACCAGAAGCTCTTCGCCCTAAACCTGGCCGCTTATCCCATTCTCAGCAACGGGTTTATGAGGTACTTGCTTTCTGTTTCTTCCTCTGTAAGAGTTGACTGATCAACATGGAAACACAGAATTTTGAATCACTTTCGACTTTGTCGCTCACAGGATTTTGTCCGCTTACCTTGGCAAAATCAATCAAGCCAAAGCCCAAACGCTGTTCCTGCTGGTCCATCTACTTCTTCTGGCAGCGGTGGTGTCTCCAGGGCTTATATGGCTGGAAGTGGACAAATGAACCCCAGCCTTTACTCGTCTGGCGTTGTAAATGCAGGAATTAGTGCTGTTCCGCAGCCATTGGAAATATCAGATGAGATAGATACTTCATCTCAGCTTAATAGGTTTTTCCCCTTTGCACGTTAATGGGTTCTAACTACTTGTCTTTAGGTATTCTTCCACAACTGACGGTGATTTGGATTTCTTGTTTCTTTCCTCCTGTCATATTTCAGTGCATCTTCTCCCCATCTTGGGATGGGTGATAGTGCCGCTTCTAACAATTTTGAAACCGAGGCTATTGCTGAACCATTCACATCGGTGTCAGCTCCTGAATTGCATCCACTGGAACCTTCAAACATTGCAAAGGTTGGTTAAAATAAGTGAATTTTTCAAAAACATGATGAGAAAAATTGGACTTTTCCTGTGTACGGCTGTACGCCATGGGCTAGTGTTCTTTTTCTCGCGAATTGGAATGAAAAGCATCCTATGGATATTGAGGAGATTCATATAGCCGAACCCATTAGATTGGGATTAGTGGTTGTTTTGTATAGGCATTTTGGCCATGAAACAACTTATGTGATCAACAATTTTAACCATCTCTTACAGGACTCGGGAGCTTCTTTACAGCCATCAAATGCAACAGCTGCCTCTGAACGTGTTGGAAATAGTATCTCGGAACCATTGCTGACAACTGGTGATGCTTTGGATAAGTACCAGATTATTTCTGAAAAGGTTATTCTTCCTTCTCTCTGTTAGTCTGATGAATGTAGAGTTTAAACACGCTGCTTTGATGCCTGAGGTGTGTTTGTTTCCCTACAAATTCCTGAAATCTATCGTCGGGATATATGTATTGTGTTTGGATTTATGCAGATAGCTTGGTTGTGCATAATGCTATTTATGTATTTTTCTATTAATCCTTTCAAACCTGCCTAGAGATACCGAAGTTCAATAGTTTAGTTGACTTTACTACTCCTCGATTTTGTCAAGATGAACCGGCGTCTTACATGACTCCAGTGGATAATAGGAGCTCCTTACGGATACTTGCTGCTGATAACGCACCTGTATCTGACTTTCACACTATGCCAGCTAACATAGTTTGAAAGGAAAGCATATTTACATGCAAACATTTCCTGTCCAAGCGTCATGCTTTTAAAGTTTTCAGAGTCACGATCGTCGATGCATATGAAAGAAAATAGTTTGCGTAACTATGCTTTCTGGTAGCTTGTTAGGGATTGAAGAATTAGGGTTTGCATGAATCTAAGTGGCGTTTTGTGCACATACCAAGAGGGGAAATGGCTCCTGTGACTATACGGCAAGTTGTGTTTGAAGATTGTGATTACTTCTCTCTCTTTTCGAATTGGGAAGAAGGAAGTAACAGTAAATTTCAGATGGATAAAAATTTCCATACGTTCTATGACAGGTATAGTACATACGTATTACCGTGAAACTAGTACTAGGAGGGTTCTGAAGTATACAAAAAATTGTATAAAACAGGGTAAGCCTGAAGAGAGTACTTTATCAAAAGTGTCTACTTCATACTAGCGTTTCTTTGTCATGGTTTACAGTTGCCCTTAAATTCTCTCTTGTCACTTTAGGTTCATTCAGTACTTGATGTTAGTCCATCTGATTTGTTTTTTTTTTTTGCAGATATCTTCTCCCTTTTATTTCTTGCTAGTGTACTGTACCTAATATTATCGCATTTGGTACTTGTGCAGCTTGAAAGCCTGGTGAGTGAAGAAGCTAAGGAGGCAGAAATTCAGGTATCTCTCTCAGCCATTGTTTTGTGAAGAAACCTAGAATGTTGTTACATTGGTGATTTTAGCACTTAATATCTTTCCGTGTGGTCTGTTTGTTGAAAGTATTATTGGCAAAAACTTGTTTCAATAGATCTGTGTGGGAAAATTCCCATATGTTTACTTGTTTCTTTGCAGGCGCTTATTGCTGAAGTTCCAGCAGTCATCCTCAAATGTATTAGTAGAGATGAGGCTGCCTTGGCAGTGGCCCAGAAGGTAAATCTTCTGAATTGTATGGAAAGAATTTCTGGATCTTGATGATTTCATATCTAAAGTTCAAAACTTTCTTTTCTGCAGGCTTTCAAGGGATTGTATGAAAATGCATCAAATAGTGCACATGTTGGTGCTCATCTTGCAATTCTGGCTTCAATCCGTGATGTTAGCAAGCTTTTTGTTAAGGAGCTAACTAGCTGGGTAAGGAATAGATCCAATCTTCTTTATATTATTTTTTTATTGTAGTCTCCTCGGTATGTTTGGTTTGTTAACTAATGCCAAAGCACATTTACTCCTGTTTGTATGCAACTTGAATATTTGCACTCTCTTGCTATCATGTTTCTCCATCTGCTGTGCTGTGTTTTCTCAATATAAAAATGCCATCTCATTCTGGTGTTCGAATCTACTGGTAGTTTAAAACTGCAGTTGTTTTAGGATATATTCTTTATTCCTTTTAGAAGTTGTAATATGAAGATTCCAAGAAGAAGAAGACTTCTTGTATTTATGTGTGTATTTTTAAATCCCTTGAGAATAGGTACCTATACAATGAATCCTAAGACTAAATAAGGAATGACAATCAATTACAATCAATTACAATGAAGGAAAATATCCTAGAATCAGTCTACTCCTACAAATAAGCTAGGAAATCTCTAATCATTCAACACTCCCCCTCAAGTTGGTGCAAAGATGTCGCACATGCCCAACTTGCAAACCAATGTATGAAAAGTCCGTTTGTTGAGACCTTTGGTAAACATATCAGCTTGCTGCTTTTTTTGATGACACATGTAACAAACTTAAGACGCCACTTGTAACTTTTTCCTCAACGTGCTTTGTTCGGTCATGCTGGATTGTAAGCTATACCGATTGCTGCCTTGTTATCACAAAACAAGGAAATTATCCTGTTTTCGGACAATCTCAATTCCTCTAGTAGCTTTTGTAACCACAAAAGTTCATAGACAACCTACACCATAGCTCTATATTCTCCTCCGTACTTGATCTAGCAACTACAATTTGCTTCTTGCTTCTACAAGTAACCAAGTTTTCTCATACGAGTGTACAATAATCAGAGGATCCACCTCTGTCATCTAGATATCCAGCCCTATTTGCGCCAGTAAAATCTTCTATTTCGAGGTGACCATGTTTACAGGTACCCGTATAAATGAGTCCTTAAACCAAACTATGATCTCTCCAACTCCGCTTTGTAACCTGTGATTGCTTTCAACCGACAATTCTGCTGGTTCTTTCAAGAGATCCAAAAAATACTTCCTTTTTCAAAAAAAGAAATAAAGATTCCTCCTTCCGGTCTAGCAACCTCAGTTCTCAAGAAGTACTACAATTTTCCTAGATCCTGATATGAAATTCCTGTGCCAAATACTTCTTCAACCGGGACATCTCCTCTTTGTCATCTCCTGTCATTAGTATGCCATCAACATAAACTATAAGAAGAGTGAGTTTACCTATTTGATGTCCTATGAAGAGGGTATGATCAACATTACTTTGTTGGTAGTTGAAAGAGATCATTGCTTTTCAAAATTTGTCAAACCAAGTTCGGGGGGATTGCTTCCGTCCATACAAGGATTTCTTCCCTCTGCATACCTTTCCTTGGCTTTGTGCAGTATCAGATCTGGGAGGAATCTCCACATACATCTCTTCTTCTAAGTCTCATGCATTCTTCACATCAAACCGTTGCAAGTCCCAATCAAGATTAACCGCACAGGACAAAAGAATTCTAATAGTGTTCATCTTAGCAATTGGGGCGAATGTCTCTTGATAATCCATTCCATAAGTGTGAGTGAATTCTTTAGCCACCAATGTTGCTTTGAATCTTTCAATCGAGCCATCAACTTTATGCTACACAGTGAGGACCCTTTTGCAGCCAACCAACTTCTTGTCGGGTGGTGAAGTGACAAGTTACCAAGTCTTATTTTTTGAGAAGGCCTTCGTTTCTTCAATCGTAGCTTGCTTAGAATCTGCAGAAGTTTCCTTCCAATTCTCGGGAATAGACATAGAAGAAATAGACAAGCAAAGGCTCTATACGAGGGAGACAAAGAATAATATGAGACAAAGTCGGATAAAGGGTGTTTGTTGGTGCAAGATCTGACTCTTTTTCTGCGAGCAATATGCAAATCTAACTCATTAGGAAATGTAGATAACTCACCGGTAGAAGAAGGTTCAGTTTCAGTAGATTGCATGATGACTTCTTTATTTCTCGTTTAGTAAGTTTTCAAACCAGGCCTATCCAAACGCTCAATAATCTCACCCTGAATTCTTTCTCCTGTTTCACTTCCCCTAATGGTAGTGGTAGTGGCCCTAGTGGTTTCAACAGCGGAACTTGGGAGAATCATCTCTCTCTCTCTATAGTTCTACCCTTGAAGAGGTGATGGTTTAATGCTGAAATATGCTCAAATTCTCGAAAGGTGACATCCAAGCTGACAAAGCATCTCCTGGATGATAGCATTTGTACCATTTTTTTATTGGAGAATACCCCAAAAGACACATTTTAGAGCTCTAGGATCAAGTTTCTCAAAGTTCGTAGCGTGAATGGTGTTTGGTGAAGATATGACACTTGGACCGAACTCAACCCCAAAAGCTAGCTCACGGGGGAGGATTGCCCAAGTCCATATAAGGAGACCACCAATCGATTCCCCAACCAATGTGTGACTCTAACCCACTCTAACACTCCCTCACACGCCCAGACTGCCAATTGGAGCGTGGACAATATGACACATGGGCCCAAACGAGAACGGAGCGGGAGGAAAATATTCTAGAATCTATCTACTCCTACAATTAAGCTTGGAAATCTCTAATCAATCATCATAATATAGTAGAATGGATTCACCAGAAAAAGAAAGTATATTAGAATGGGTTTTGGATAATGATCCATTTTAACTGTGCAATTTTATTTATTTATTTATTTATTTTGGGCAGCAAGCGTAGGGTTTTAACTCTAATTGTGGTTTTTTTGGAGGTGAATGTAGGAAGTTTCAAGTATAATTGTTTATTGTGTGGTTTATTGCTACAAAAAGCAATAAGTCTAATTGTTTTTTTTTGTGGCTTATTGCTCTGGTGTCCAAAGGAACTGGTTTTTTTGGCTTATTGCTGCTGCTATGGGCTGTGGACACAGAAGTTTGGCCCTTTTACTTTATTAAGTGATATTACATGTCTGAAAGTGCAATACAAATATATAATAAAATTTGAAGGTATGCATGGCACATCAAAATATCTTATTCTTACCCTATGAAATTGTTAGAAGTTGGAGTACGATGGACAGTGTGATGTCAATAATGGCTAGGCAGGTTAATTTAATTTCTAGAAAGTAAGAGGTCTCTAAAGTATGTCGAATATTGGATGCAGCTCTTTAAAAGTGAGTTTTAACTAATACATCCTATGTGAAAACTTTTCTTCGAAATGGGCTATAAAATTATGAGATCAATGCTTTACTAAAATATCATGTTCCACAGTTCAAAGAATTAGTATGGGTCTTCTTCCTCAACTGGTCATGTCATAGTGTTAGTGTTGGCGAGGGTGTTATCTTTTAGTTTAAACTCATGCAGGTTGCTGGCCCTTTCATTAATAGAACGGGCAGAGAAAATTAGTTGATAGGAAACTGACTTTTGTTGATCGTCAGTGACTCCACATTTATCTTTTGGCAGGTTATTTACTCCGAAGAGGAGCGGAAGTTCAACAAAGACATTACGGTTGGTTTGATACGGAGTGAACTGCTAAACCTTGCTGAGTATAATGTGCACATGGCTAAATTACTTGATGCTGGCAGAAACAGTATGTACCTCCTCTTTCAACTGATGTTTAATTGAGTATATACAACACTAATTTTTTTGTTTGACATGCAGAGTCTGCTACTGAATTTGCTATATCTCTAATTCAAGCGCTGGTGATAAGTGATTCGAGAGTCATATCGGAGCTACAAAACCTTGTTGAAGTGCTGGCTAAGGTACAGTTCCTTTATCTTTTCTATTCCTCTTATCGTTTTTAGACTGTCTTTGTTTCCCCTGCTCTGATACAGAATCAGGTCATTACCTATATTTTATCATGGTGCAGATTGCAGCAAGACCAGGGTCTCCTGAGTCTCTACAACAACTAGTGGAGATCGCTAAGAACCCTGCTGCTGCTAATGCTGCTACACTGTCTAGTGTTACTTTTGGGAAGGAGGATAGCAACAAACAATCTAGAGACAAAAAGGTTTCTCAAAATTTCCTTTTTTACAATATTGAGTTGTGGGTACCACTTCATCATGTCTTTAATACATTCCCAGATGTGCGAGTCAAGATTCTTTTTCATGCACCAAGTACACGAATTTTTTTGATGGATAGTAGTGAGACTCAAAGCAACAACCTGTGCATGCACATAATTTTTTTCGTGATGGTTAGCCGTTATCCACCTAGTTTCGAACTGGGCACCAATTGGCTGTCGGAGATTTATCGGTTATCAAAGAAATAAAATGATGGATAGTAGCGAAACTCAAACCAACAACCTGTGCATGCCATGTGCTATGTTGAATTGTGTGTACCGTTTCGTTTAAAGAACACTTGTTTACTTAATTATGTCTTTTACTTGTGAAGACTGCTGTTCTGTCTATCTAGTTTGAGATCTTACTAAACTTTACTCTGCAAATAAAAAGTAGCTGTCCAGAAGAGATCTGTAAACAACCCCAGCAATAAAACGGTATTTTGGTTATCTTTATCTGCAGAACACATTCTCATGGTGTTTAAGGCTTTTTATCTTCTTCAATCTTGAGATATTTTTGTATCATTCTAAATCTAACTTCTTACATAATTTATATTTCTCTTCTATTTTTCCATCTGAATTCGGAAATCATTTTATGGCTGGTGTTAAATGCAATCTGTAGCCAAGATGCATTTAAAACTCTTCATCCCATAAGGAAATATATGGTGTATATTAAACTATATAAAGTACTAGTATGTACTTCCCCTATCCTGATTTATGCGTGGTACTTTCCTTTTTAGTCTGTCTCATAAAGAATGTCATACTTCCTTATATAGAAACAATTTAACCTTAATGAGATGATTTATAGCGACACAAATTTCAAAAGTCTTATTTTCTTTCTTAAATTCTGTGCCTACTGCCTAGTCAAATACCACCACATAAGCTGGGATGGAGGGAATATTATAGGGGTAGTCAATAGTAGGACTTAGCATAGCAGAACTGTTGAATGAGGTTAGTTAAATGATTATAGCAAATGTGCAACCAACAGTTTGAACTCAAAATTAGATCTGGATGATTTGTGTTTTGTAGACTATAACTGAAAAATAAAACAGGCATGTCCTTCTCTGCCTCCCATACGTTTTGATTTCACGTCAATACTTGAACAGATTGCTGGGCCTGCTACTGGTACCAGAGAAGATTATGGTGTTTCTGAATCTGTTGAACCGGATCCTGCAGGCTTTCGAGAGCAGGTATTTCCTTCTATNCCACCACATAAGCTGGGATGGAGGGAATATTATAGGGGTAGTCAATAGTAGGACTTAGCATAGCAGAACTGTTGAATGAGGTTAGTTAAATGATTATAGCAAATGTGCAACCAACAGTTTGAACTCAAAATTAGATCTGGATGATTTGTGTTTTGTAGACTATAACTGAAAAATAAAACAGGCATGTCCTTCTCTGCCTCCCATACGTTTTGATTTCACGTCAATACTTGAACAGATTGCTGGGCCTGCTACTGGTACCAGAGAAGATTATGGTGTTTCTGAATCTGTTGAACCGGATCCTGCAGGCTTTCGCGAGCAGGTATTTCCTTCTATTTAATGTGTTTGCAGCTTTATCCCAATTGGTTAAGAATGATGTATAGTTAAAATTGGAATGAAGAAATTGTTAGTAGGTCCCAGCCACCTTAATTTCTTGTTCGATGCCGTTTTTATTTATTAATAGCTATCCCTATTTTTGGAGGTGAAATGATGCTTTTATGGTATCTTTTGCAATATGCTTCTTTTGTGCAAGTACAACTATTGTAAATGATTAGCTGGAGTTGGTGCTTGATTTCACTTGTCTTGCCTGCTTCTCATTTACCCATACTACTTGCTCCTTCTCAAAGTTATGCTTGTAGTTTGATTCTTCAGAGAGTTCAAGAGTTGATCTGGTAGTATTAGTTTGACCAGGCAGAGAATTCAATATGAGAATTGTGTTATAAATCTAGAACATCCTAAAGTTGCAGTACGGCATTAAGTTTAGGTAGGAGTATTACTTCATAGGATGGTGTGACAGGAGAAGGATTGCCTTGGGGAGGTTCATTTTTTTTGTGTGGATGAAAGTGGAGGTCCCTAGGACTTTAGTCGGGTACTATCACTAAAATAATGAATATTCATGAAAGAGATTTCCTTTTAGGGAGATTACCGTCATTTTTTCGGAAGGTTGATGCCCTTAGTTTGTTGGAGGGATCCCAGGAACTTAGTTTCAACAAAGAAAGAGGAGGAAAGCCGAAGGCAACATATCTTAATTGATAGGACGCTAAATAGTTACTCCCTCCGTTCCGGTGTATGTGAACCTATTTCCTTTTTGGTCTGTTCCAAAAGAATGACCCCTTTCTAAATTTGGAAATAATTTAGCTTAAACTTCCAATTCTACCTTTAATGAGAAGCTTTTATAACTACATAAATATTCTGAGCCCCTTTTTGACTTGTTTAGGACCACAAATTTCAAAAGTCTTCATTTTTTTTAAACTCGGTGCCCAGTCAAATAGGTTCACATAAATTGGAACGGAGGGAGTACAACATTTTACCTAGCTCTGTTTATGAGAAATCTAATCCTAAACAAATGCTGGTGCACTTCTAATTTTATGCTGTTCTCTACTCTCTGTGACATGAACAGAAACATCAAGGAGCATAATGTCCTGTTTAGAAAAACATCTTTTGTGGCTTGTGCAACCCCCCC